CTTCAACGTATGTCAAGCTTCTACTCCTTCTTTAGGATCATAAATTAGGTCATGTTTTAAATTTCCCTAGGATAACCTATGTGACTTTCTTATATCAAACACTCTCTTCAAATAAATTTTAGTAAAAGCTGGAGATTTTGCAGCTTTGTGTCACGGACTTTCTGTGTTTTGCAAATAATGCAGGACTGTCTATCTTCAGAAATGCAATATTTTCTGGCTTCAATGGCTGGTACCTAGACACAAAACACACCCATCCTTTGTATGCTTTCCATTTCCTGCTGTTGTTAAGATGAAAGAAATGCAGGACATCATTTTCAGTCTCTACACTTCCACTCAAAAATTCCGCTTGGGTTTAATTTTCAAAATGTCCTGCATTAGCTGTTACTGTAATTTTATATTTATATTTATTGCTAAGGTTCTGCATATGCAAAGAGAATTAGTATTTCTCAATTTATCTCCTGGGAAAGATACAGCCTGCCTCTCACACCAGCAGTATTACTTTTGGCACAGTTAGTGAATGAACATTCACAATCATCACAGATATTCCAACTGGGCAGGAGATTCAGTGTCCCACTTGATATTATTTTGAATGAAAAGAATATGCACAAAGTCTTTGATTCTTATTATGCTCAGGAAAAAACAGGAAATTTTTTCTTAAAGTACAGCCAAAAAATGAACTATTGCTTCTCCTGTGGCTGGGTTTTGTTCACAAATGTTTTCCCTCCAAATAATACCCATCTTCCTGTTTTTACATTTGTATACCAGCAAAAAAACACCCACTAAAGAGTTCCAAGCAGCCTAACAAGTGTTCTGGCCTCTTTTTGTGGAGAGATGGTGGGGGTGCTTAAAGGGGAGCCTGTTTTGTTTGTGTCTGTGTGCACACATGCATGGAAAAGCTTTTCAATACCACAGACTTGGCTTCTACTACTTTGATCCAAAACACAGTTAAACTGTTAATTACATTTATACTAAATAAAGGCCATTGGTCATTCTCATCTCATTTACCAAGCTTTCCCTCTGTCTCCACCATCATTCCTGCACAGAATGGCCCTTGCATTGTTATTAGTTAAGTTGCCCAGGTATCTTGGGTGTGCCCCCAACACAACTGCAACATTCTTTGAGTATCTTGAATTTTAATACTGGTTTGGACGTAGTTAAATTCCTGTAATGTTTATCCTTCAGCGGCCAATAAAGTCCCATAATCATTTTTTCCCAACCAAAATATTAATTTTAATATAATTCAGAGTTTATACATCAAAATGTCTCAAAAAGTTGATGGGAAAAAAATGAGAAAGGCTTTACTTGTTTACACGGAAACTGAATTTTAGACTGAGAGTTACAGAATAAATCTTGGATTTAGGGCCCCTTAAACTCACAGTCATTCCTCACAGTCATTCACCGTGTCCCCCACTGTGTTTTTAGTAAGTCTCCATCTTTTGATTTCAGTTGTCCTGGGCCCTGTCAAACTACAAACATAAAATATGAGTTTTACAATATGCTGTATTTTGTAAACCTTGAAGTAATTTTTGAAAAGCCAAAAAAAAAAAAAAAACTCAAACAAAAAAAACCCTAAACCACCAAAGACACTGTGTTCAAACAACATGGTCAAGTGACTGTTAGAGGTATGAAATTACCGTGCAAAAAGTTGAAGTCATGCCCAAACAAGTACAGAACCACCACCTTTGGCACATTCAGCATAAAAACATGATAAAAATAGCCAAAACTATTTAAGAAACAACTTGCTAAAAGGCATAAGAGCTAATACCAAATCCTTTCCTGAACAGGCAAAAGCAGGAAGCCTCCCAGCAGCTACAGGGCCAACAGAAAATCCAGGATGTCTCCAAATAATACACAACCATTGAAAAAAGCTACAGGAACTTGGAATTACTTTTAAGTACTTGTGTGGTGACATCTTCCCCCAGTCTGCCTTTTTTTTAATGAGGCAAGTACTGAAAGATACTGAAGCTTCAATTGGAGGATTTTAGAAGAAAATTAATAAAAATTCAAGAATAAAACCTACTGTATTATTAACTGTGGCATTTAAACTAAAACTTCATTTTCCAAACAAGTTTCTACAAAGGTAATCACTTTGAATACATTTATGCTTGAATATAGAGCCTGATATAACAAACTCTCAAGGTTTAAATTTCTATTCTCAGTGATCGCTAAAAAGAAGTTTAAAAGTGTAAATCAGCACAAAAGAGAAACCTTTTATTTCCCAAAGAATTATTCAACTAAAATTTTTTGGTTTAACACACACTAATACAAAATAATTTTGAGGACACTTTTGATAAAGCTTACGGGGAATTAGAGTTTAACTTTTTATTCAAGATTTTTTTTTTTATTCCAAATGTGATCTGATGAGTCAGCTATTCTCTGAAGTCATGTAACAATAAACATTAAATATTACTCAATGCCCACAGCAACCACTGTCTAATTTTATTCTTTTATTTCTTCTCCCCACAAAATGGAAAAAATTCCCTGTAGAAACTATTATATTTGGGCCAAATTTATGACTCAAAGAAAAATTAAAATAGATATGTGAAATTAAAACAACAAAATGCTATATTGTGAAAACCACAGAAATTTAAACTGACTGTAGGTTTCTTTTATGTACATCTTTTAAATACATTTACATACAGGTGTAAATGTGTGAATGTAAAATGAAACAAAATGAATGTGCACCTACACAGTTTTTATTTATATATAACATGCAACTTACATTTGTTGCTGATTTTTTTTAAAAAATGTTAGCACAAAACCCATTTGGAAACCTACAAGAGGAGGATATAATCACTATTACTAATACAGTCTAGTCTGGGTTTAGTTACATCAAGGGACAGTGGTGATATTCTGTTAAGAAGCACTGTTCATCTTGGAGCTTTTTAAATCAAGGCATCTTCTAGAATTTAGACAGTACACTTATTTTCTAAATATTTAGCAATGATATATCTTAATGCATTATTATCTTCCTTGGAGATGGCAGATTCACCTGAATATTTGCATATGTTTATGCCCCCATTCCCATCACTTCTTGTGATCCAGACAAGCTGTAAGTCTCATTCTTTCAACTTTTCCTACAGCTTAATTTTCCATCCCTTTACTCCTTAATTAAATTCATGGCTCGAATCATCGGATGTTCATATTTTAAATAAGAGTCAGGCATCAATATATTTTAGAACTGCACTAAACATAAAGTACATTATAAAATAAAACATTATGAGCTTCTGAAATGGAAAAAAGAATGGTATTGATTACAGAGGAGTTCTCACTTCCTGTAAACATTTCTATCTCACTCCCTCTCACAGACATACACATACTTTAAAGGAAAACCAGAAACAAGAGTTTAATTAAACACCACTAGTCTGAATTTCAAATCCATGAATGAACAGATGGCCACGCTTCAGAGTCCGCCAGCAGCCACTCCAATTAACTGGGACTGGGATCAGGGTAATGTCATGGAAGCTAGAAGTTCTGAACCAAATAAATATCCATATATGTGTATTTGTGACAGCTATAAATAGTATAACACTGAAGTATTTAGCACTATACAAAAGTGGTACCAGCAAAAAGAGAGGAGGCTACTATTTCAGGCTATCTCCTGTGAGTGCACCAGGATGCTTGTCAGTCCTCACACAGACTTCAAATCCAGCTGACTTTGCAAAGAACAGCTTTAAAGAAGTAAATAAAGTTGTCCACTTCAGCTCTTCCACAGACAATCTCTAATATTGAACTTGTGCTCAATTAATTATTTAAAACACAGTCCCAAATACTTAAATATATTCAGTTATGTCAGTAAGCATTTATTAAACAAAAATCATTATGTGTCCCTTGAGTAAAAATGTCTTCTGACTCTCCTGTGTTCAGTGAAACCTTCCCCTGAGTAAGCACCAAAAAGGACATCTGCTTTTACTGACATTAAACTTAAGGGTGAACATCTACCTAAATTTTCAACAGTGCACGACAGACATGAATACAGGGGAAATAAAAGCAATACAGGATATTCCTGATGCTCTTCAGCCTCTATCAAATTTTAACTCTGCAATCTGTCACCTTGCTCCCCCTCCTATTTCTGCAGCAGGACTCCAACTCTGCACTGCCCATGGGATACAGGTGACATCACCTAAATGTGAATTCTGCACATTTTCTTCACCTCTCCCTATACTGAATGCTGATAACACCGACCCCTGAGCAATGGGCAATACCATACATTTTGCAACCTGAAATAAGCACTTATGAAAGAGTGATACAAGTAGTTTTTCTGATTAAGGCTGCTCATACAACGGGAAGAAAAAAAAAAACAGTAAAAGCAACTCCTACATAATTTCACCTTAAGACTTTTTTGTTCTGTAAGGCAACAAATGAACACAATACATTTGTGTGTTGAGGACACTAAGCTTTCCAAAGAGAACAGAAGCTCTCCTAATTCTTACATCACTTCCACAATTGCTGAATAAATAGTTCCTGATACACTTATTCCAGTATTTTGGTTTTGCCTTTTCCCCTCCCTTTCAGAAGGAAAAGAGAGATGAAGAAAAAATTCACTTAATTACTCATCTGAAACTAATAAAATACTTTTGAGGAAAAAAATGCTGAATGTAATATTTTTTTATCCAAAGGACCCTCTGATTATCTCAGTCCTTTACACAAAGCTTCCATTCCCAGAGGTATTTTGCATTTAATACAATACTTGCCTAATTAGCACTTCTTCACAGGAGGACAGGTTCCCTAATACTTAACAAATACAGCACATCTTTTCAGTGCAATACAAAACAGGATAAAAATTCTCATGGCTGCTAATTAACTAAAAAGGGCAATATAAGCAACCAACGAGAGATCAATTCATCGATTTAAATACAATACTGACACTAATAAATGATACAAATTAAATGATACAAATTTAGAATATAGTCTGAAAATTATGTTGCTATTTTAAATTTGCAAACTAATTACAGAAAAAGACAGCAACTTCATTAAATATTTATAAAAGTAATAAATACCTGAAGTACTCACAGCAGTGGAATAAGGATTATGAGCTCCTGTATTTTCAGCCCAGCAGCCACAACCATAAAGAGCTGCCTAAGGAAAGAAGCACATTGTTCCTAAATGTTAAGTGTATGAGATTTTTGCTTTATTCTCTTTCCTTAAAAAAAATGAAAATACAATAGCAACCTCAAAGCAACAACAACAAAAAAAGAAACACAAGAAAAATCCAAGTATTAATACAAAATATTAATATCATAACCATATTGCAATTCCCCTCCATTTTGCTACATCCTTTTACTATTCTTGAGATCTGAGTGTTTGTCACAGATACAGTATTCTAGCCTAGCTTAACAGAAAATGAAGGTAAAGATATAACCCTGTTCATATAAAGTCCCTTTTACTCTGCTATTCAAAAAACAAAGAAAAAAAAAATCTTAACTACATTTCAAAAGAGAACTACTTTTTGGACAGTGGAAAATATCAACCAAAAACACAGCTGTACAGCAGTGGAGTACAAAATTTCTGATGCACCTCAAAATTCCCTAACAATATGGTGACACATCATAAATATATTATTATTATCATTAACAATAAATAGAACTATACATAATTTATAAACATAATCGTAAATATATATAAAACATCATAAATACCTGGGGTAAGTTCTTTTATTACTTTTGTCACTTTCTCCAATTCACAAGATCATTTAAAAATTAATTAGGACAGCTTCCCTAAATATTGAGAGAAATCTTATTTTAAGACTCTTAAGCATTTAAGAGACCATTTAAGGACGTATTTAAGCCCAAGAAATTAACTTGCTGATATCTCTGTCAAGAGGTAACTAACTACAGAACATCTTACCTATCCCTGTTTTATTACACTGATGGAGGACACTAAAAACACTTGCATATCAAGGAATTTCACAGGAAGGGAGAACAGAAGTTTGCTGACACAGCTTTTGCTTGACACCACACCTGCTTGTGACACTGAATAATCATTCTCACAAAAAAAAAAAAACAAATGTTCAATGATCACCTGACCAACTCTTCCAGGATGCTTCAGTGCTAAACCTCCACTGGAGACAGCAGCAGCAACATTTCCTTCTTGGTCAACAACAACTGCACCAACTGTATCCAAAGTTCCTGAGTCATTCTCCTGCAGGACACACAAAGAGAAAAAAATCCTAGCAAAAATAGTATATTAAAGTCAGATCATACTCCTTAGGAGTGTGCAAATGAGAGGTCTAGCAACCAAATGGATTTGTTATCATGCACTTGTACCCACTGCCATAAATCTTCCCAAAATGCTGCTTTGCCTCAGACAAGACCTTAATAAAACTTCCCCAGTAACAAGAAGGCAATAAACATCTCAGAATTAATCCAATCCTTAGATCACCTGCTTTTACTCACAGAGTGCCAGAAGTAATTTTTTCTTAGTGGTTGCCACTTTTCCACTAAGAAGTGATTCAGTAACTGATGCCACATCAAAAGGCCTTTCCTAAAAGGCCCAAAAAGCATTTTCAGAGGCTCTGAAGATGCATGATTTTTAAAAAGTGAAATTAAAAAAAAAAATCAAAACAACAAAAAACAACCCCCCCAAAAAAACCCAAAGTACCCCCAAAAAAAAACATGTAAAGAGAAAATCCTGATATTCTGAGCAAGACAATAAATAGAAGCCTCAAGAAACAAATCTCCCCTAGGACAGATTCTGCCAGACTTGTTCTCAGTTCAGGAATCTTTAGTGAGTAAAGCAGTTTTACCCTTTGTTTCTGTAACTAGAGGGTAACTAGAAAAGTGTCCTTCCTTCCATGACTTCTGAGTAGATTTACTCTGCCCAGGAACAGGGGTCTTCCTTTATATCCTTCCCCCATTCCTTAATGCACTACATTAAGTCCCTCTTAGAGAAGGAAGTTTTCCCCTCTCTGCCTAGGCTTAGCCTAGATTCCCCTCTCTGCAGAACTCAGGGCAAGGCACTCAGACTTCATGCTCCACCACACACAGCATGCAGTGTACAAAAAACAAAACCAATAAACAAAATTGATCCATCATCCATCACGTACTCCAGAGATGTACACTGTTGCTGCACAAGCCTCAAGCCTCTTACACAGACTTACCCAGTGAAATAATGCCAAAGTTTATTAAGTTTTTCATATAAATGTGAATTTTCTGGACTAGAATTCAGAGGGAGGAATTAAGAAAAAAAACCAAAACCACCTAACTATTCAACTTCAAATTATCAGGTTCCCATCATCAATTAAAATTCCCTTGGGCATACTGTGTCACTTATCAAGCATGGTTTCTAGTACTGTAACTCTTGATGATACTCTGGCCACACTTAATTTAAGAGAAAACACTTGGGTTCATCTGGGTCAGTCTCAAAAGGAAAAATCTGCAGTACAGTGCTACCATGTGCCACAATACTTCTCAAGCAACTGGAACTCCTAGGCAGGAGATTCATCCTTGGCTTTTACCCAGAGAAACAGTAAGTTTCTTCTCTGCACCTACACCTAGATCTTCTCTGGCAAGTTCTGCACTCAGATGCTGGCACTGACCATATTTAATATTAAAACAAATGGATGGATGTCCTAACAATAAAGCAGAATAACTGCATAAAGGCAGAGAGGGGTAAGAAGCTAGAGATCCATGGTACTGGTACTGGGAAGAAGGGTAAGCTGAAAAACAGAGGAAGGAAGGATCAGGAAGGGTAGGAAAAGTAGAAACAAAAGGAATTTTGATGCTGGGAGCAAAGGGGATAAGAAAAGAGCCATCTTCCTTCCAAGTTCTAAAGATGAAAAACATGAAGGAAGCTTTTATTAACATCTCATGTGCAAATGTATTTCCCAACTCCCAGGACTCCCAGACACACCCTGAGCTAATACTAACCCAGTTCAAACAATACCACTCAGTGGATTGAAAAAACCTTGACCAGCAGAGCAGGCTGCTCACAGGACTTGGAGATTCCCATGCTTGGAGGTTTCCAAGACCAGACTGGACAAAGCTCTTCCCAACATTAATTCTCTCAAGATTTCTCTGTAGAGAACTACTATGATACAGGTGCTGCTGTCTACCCCCTGCCCCCTTTTATTGAAGGAAATTATACCCACAACAAAAAACTTAATTAATAAACAACTACAGATATAAAAATCTAGTCAAATAAAATCTTATCAAAGTTAGTTTAAATGAGGCAATGTTTTCTAAGGGAAGCATTTCTAAGGGAAGACTGAGGAGGCCCACACAACCTTCTGAAGGAAATCAGTATCTCTGAAGCAAAGGAATTCTGTGTTTTTCTTCTCAGTAATATAGGTTTTGGGGTGGGGGGGGGGGATGGGGAGGAGGGACTGGTTTGTGATAAAAAACAAAAAAGACACTGATACAGAGCTGATGCTGTATTTATCCTTATTCAGCAAACTGAAAACCAGTGATGTTCTATTCCACATCCAAGGGGAGAAGATACATTGTCAGTATCTTCTATATACATGAACTGTACTGGCAACCCTGATTTCTGGACCAGTAAATAAAGAGCTCATCACAATTTAACAAAGGACCTTTCTTTACATCACCTGATAGAAAAGCATCATGTGCCTGAGGAGTCACTGCAAGACTGCTGAAAAGCCTTCCAGTGTCACACATTTCATCTCTACAAATCAGATGAATGTTGAAAAGCGGAGGATCCTGTCAAGCTAGTGTCAGGACAATAAAAACAAGTATGATAAATACTACAATTCAAAAACTCTAAACTAAGACCAAACTTCATACAGGTCCAATAGGGACTAATCAAGATCCTGTTTGCTTGTCCTTACCTTTCTATTGATTGATTTATTCAGCTACTTAAATTTTAAAATTTTGCAGGTTCCAAAGGAAACTTGGTGAAATCTGTTACCAAATTCTGTATCTGAGTTCAGATACTAAATGATACTTGTCCACTGCAAAAGCAGTTTGGGGATTTTAGCAATGCAGTATTGCAACCTAGATATCTATTAGTTAATATTTTGCAAGGAAGAAATTGAAAGTCAGTGTTATAAGTCAGACCTCACATTATTTAATTTGCACCTTGCAGGAGGAAAGGAAATTAACTTATTAAACCATGGTCCAAATACTCAGATATTTGCTAAGAACATGCACACAAAACTGAAAGATGCTCACCTGCACAAATGCAGAGTTCTATCAAGCATTTTTTTAAAACCCTCCTTCCCTCCTGCACATAAAAAAATTGTAAATATTCATCACTACAAGCCCCTAAGGAAGCAATTAGCAGATTAGGAGAGCTCTACTCAGTGCCCACTGAAAGATTCTACACACAGGGCCTTTTCCCTCTTCACTTGAGATAGTTCTGAAATGCCATGGAAAGTAATTACTACTGAATCTCATCTCTGAGGATAACTGACGAAATACAAAATTAATCAGATTGAAACTACTAATATTTCTGTGCTATTACCCAACTATCCAAAGCTTGATGAACAATCCCAACCTTCCAAGTTGAACAGTTGTTTGGTATGTAAAAAAGAACATTTTGTTTGATTTTCATGTGCAAGATGAGGAAATTATTCCATACTGTATTTCCACAGATAAAGCCAAAACAAAACAACAAAACATAACTAGAATGGGTAAAAATTATTTAGGTTTATTTTCCCATACTAAATGGATTTTGAAGCATATTTTTGAAAACTGTAAGGTTTTATTATCAAAGACCATTTGCACACAAATATGAAATGGAACATTTATTTCATTTTTAAGGAAATTTCCAAACTGCAACACTAAATAAGACAGACACTAGGATTGCCATAGTTGACTGCTACCCTTACAATTACCTGCACATGGACAAAAATATTTTCTAAATATGTTCAGTCTTAATACAGTAACAGAAGCACATGCAAGTGTTGATTCCATACATATAATGCCAACTGGTGCATACATATATCAGTACCTATGTTGAACTAGATAAAAACCAAGCCAGTTTTAATAAAACTCAACCTAAATAATGTTATTTATAGAGCTAAATAACTAGGCTATAAAATACTAATTTACAAACACTAATCTGTCCCAAAAAAATCATGTGTACTAGGGGTTCTTAGTGTCACTTATTCAAACCAAGAAGAGGACAATTTTTTACAGATATGCTGAGATCACTTTTGAAAGTTTGTAATAGCAAAAGACTAAGTAAAATCAGGGCTTCAAGCCAAACTCTGCTAAGCTATTTTCAAAGACAATTTCCTCTGGTAAAAGACAGACTAACAGTAAGCAGACAAATATTTACTTCTGATATTTGCTGGTGCTTGAGGGGAGAATTTGAGAATGGCATCTGGCTGAATGAACACATCATAGACACCCCCCATGAGAATGTTTAGTTAATTTTTGTTTGTGCGTGAATTATTTCTTAGCTATGTAAATCAGTAAAACTCTGCAACTAAAAAAAGACTAAATTTTTACACCTTCAAAGTTTGGTGAAGTTATTAATGGATCTTCCTGTATGCAAATGCATAACCCTCTGCAAATGCTACATTGGGTGAACAAAGAAAAATATTCCTTTAGTAAGTTACACTGCCACAAACTTTGACAAATTTAAACAGCCTCACTCTTTTTAAGGTTGGTATCATCATATTTTTATTGAAAACTAATTTTTAAACCTGTACTTTTCTTTTTATCTGGTGATATTTATCAGTAGCTCAAACTTCCAAGTAATTTCAATCTGTTTTGGTAGCAATACTGTCTCTTCACACTGGCCTATTAGCTCTGATCCCATTCAACTCCACTTTTGTTAACATCCTTTCTACCTTGCTCTCCCCACAGCCTGAGCACTGACAACAGAGGCACACGTGCTCAGCTGCAGCACAGAGTTAAAGGGGGTGAATCAAACCAGATAATAAAACAGCTCTGAAGTGCTGTTGAAAGGAATGGTCTGCAGCTCCAGAGAAGCACAGCTGATTAAAAAAAAACCTAAAAATTAAAATTAAAAAAAAATTTAAAAATTAAATAAATAATATTTAAAATAAAAATTTTTAAAAATAAAAAAATTTTTTAAAGTTACGTGAGCATTTACCAATTAAAATAACTTTGACAAGAAGATTAACTTCTAATTACTCAAGTATTTAAATAGTTTTAAACCAGTTATTTTAAAACCTTTTATGAGAGCACAGCTTTGACAGTGTGAGTTTTAGGGCAACAAATCACATGCCACATGAAAATGTCCTTACTAAGTGACCCTTTTCTACTGATCCTTTAGTAGAAAAGGGTCATTTAGCAAGGATTTTGATGACCATAGAAGGGTCATCAAGTAGAGTAAATCTAGGGAGATATACTCTACTTTTTTTTTCTTTTAGAATTTGATTTTTCATTCCTATTTCATTTTGAAAAACTACTTTGAAAACCTTATTTCCTGCAAGGCTGCAATTATATCCTACACTCTGTGGATAGCACAGGAATTCCATATTGAGAATGTGGGTTCGTTTTCATCCCTGCAGACAGAGGACAAAGCTCTGGCTGAGGTCTGGATAACTGGGTGGATGTGGAAAACTGCTAGATTTGACACAAGGAGGAACTGAATGTATTAAATAACAATGTGAGAAACCAATAGATCTGCAGATAGTGCTGTGAGGAGTGGCCAGATTCACTGGGTACCTGGATGGGAACACCGGGGACCTTTTGGGGATCCAAGTGCAGCAAGGCCAGCAGCAGCACCTGGGGAACTAACTCAGCAATGCTGCAAACAATGAGATTGCAAATATCAGAAATAGCAAATAACCATATTGAAACCAGCAAGTTGTTAGTGGATTACTCACTAGTCCACCCTATCTGAAGTGCTCTATCTGATGATCTCCTTTACCTACCACCACTGGCCTTTGGGAATCTCCAAAAGTGCTGCACAGGACTCTGGAGCCCTTGAAATTTCAAACTGCAGGTTGGTAAGCTCATGCACTGGCTGATGTTTCAAGCATTGACTTGCCCCTTATGACATGAACAGCAATAGTGCACAGGGAGCCCTCCTCCCCCACGTACACTTTCACACTCCCAGTTTCACAAGGAGATAACTGAAGTTCTGGGAACAGGAAAAGTTCCAAAATGAACAACTAGTTCCATGGCTCCCCCATCCTTAATTTCTTCACAAGGCTTAGCTCCTTGAAAAAATAACAATTAGTATCCTGCTAGAGAAACATCTTGTCTAAGAACACAGACGTAAATTACCTATTTATCACTGTTTGCCTTTGCAGACTACAGAGAATAGACTTTTGCTAACAATTCTCTGGGATTTATACCTTATTTATATCAATATGTGTAACCACACAGTAGTCAGACAGCTCAGCAAAGCAAAGAGAAATGGCCAATCCAAAGGCCCACAGGCCCCAAAGAAAGCACAGGAATTTAATTTCATGAGCCATACTTTGGTATTCAACATTAAACATAAATACTGTGAATGACATTCTCACAGGTTACCAAAGCTCTACATTTAAACTAAAAATGAGGGGAACAGAGGGAATCCCTGGTAGTTTTGGAGCACAAGTAATATGGGCCAGGTCAATGCCAGATGCATGCACAGATGCACATGTTTACCTACCTGGTATTTCAAATTTCACCAATTCCAGTTCCATAAAGCAATGTGCTCAGGATACATTAAAAAGTGGGAAACAGTGACAGAGATCCCAAGCTAAAGAAAATGTTTTGGTAAATAGAATAAATAGTAGAAAATATTTTGGTAAATCTGTATTTACATTTGTCGTATTTCCAGTTCAAAATGAGCAAAATATTTTTCTTAGCACAAACAAGATATAAAGTGATGGTTTGGTTTTCAAACAGCAAGGCAGAAGGTTTTAACTACACTAAGTTTTTATCATATCAACTAAACATTAAGATGGACAAGGTGAACAGGCTTCTGAGGCTACATCAGTCTTATCATATAAGACATGAAGCTTATTAGCAATCAGCTGTAAGTTTAGGATGACACAAGAATTTGAAACAAGAGCTAACCTTTTCATTTGATTGTCTTCTTTTCTTTAGTTGAATGAGATCTGTTTCCACCTTTTCGGCCAACTCCAGCTTCCTCTTGTTCCTCTTAAAAGCTGCTAAACTAAACCCTATAAAAATAGTTCAAAAGCATGTAACTAAGTAAAATGTACTTATTTTAAGCAAATATTGATAAGTCTACATTTTGAAGGACACATCCCCCACTTCTTTACTGATGCAAAAAGCATCAATAAAAAGCCAAAAACTAAGTATTCAAGTTTCAGTACAAGTTGTGCATATCTTTTCCTAAGTTTAAAAGTTCTACTATTGTTCAGCAATCGTGAAGAGTAAAATATCTGGTAGAAACACAGCATGAACACATGGAAGCTGGTCTAAATATCTTTGGCAATGAAGCAGCACTGCACAGAAGAGACCAGAATAAGTGGCTTGTGTTAAAATTGGTTTTGACTGCTGACAAGAAAATAGATACTATGTGAGCTCATTCTGATAGCCATAAAATTAGGTTACTATTTTATTACCTTAATCACATATCTGTATGTTTACCCATATATTTAAAGCCACACACAAGTCTAGCAGTAATTTATGCTCCATAATCCAACACAGTCTAAAGACCACCTACGTCTCAAGAAGACAAACACCTACTTTCTACATCTAAGCCCTATATTCAGAAAGGAAGTGCTCTCTAAAAAATAAAATTGTTATGCTTAAGAGACTAAAATGACATGTTCCCATTTTAGAAGTTTCAGTTCATGAACAAATTGCAGATATTGACATATTTAGTTTAAATTAGTTTTGACTCAATATCATCCCCAGGCTGTTTTAACATCCTCTGTAAAATGTTAAGAGGTGGGGAGAAAATGTCTTTTGTCACTTGTTTAACCACGCTAAATCAAGCTATTGGGAGAACAGAGCAATTTGAATCTTTTACTTATACAAGTATGTCACAAATTCAATGGAAACTAAAAAGCACAGGTTTTTCTATAAACTTTAAAAAATGTCATTTTAAATTAAATTCTGAACACAGTTACATCAATATTATTCAGAAGACTGGAACAGCTACATGAAGTCTAGTAATAAACTCAGTGTTGCAGAGCCAATGGAACCCAGAATTTTCATTTACAATTCTCACAAAGTACACAGACAGTGAGCATTTTACTTTGAAACTTCTCCACACAGGTGCCAAATTCACTTAGCAAATTCTCTTTTAATCATGTTTTTAAGTATATAAAACTGGACCTGGATCTGTAGCATTATGGGAAGAACTGACTTCCTGGAGGACTTGGGGCTCACATCTCACTGCAGACAGCATTTTGCCTGCTAAAGTCCAGAGCTTGCAGTGCTCAAGGTGATGCTTGCCAGGCTGTGGTATTTCTTATGGCAAACAACTAGCTTGAAGCACCCAGTTAGTTATTCAAGTATATAACTCAGAAAGTAGTGAGAAAGCTGCATTTCTCTCCAAAAACCTAACGAATACCAGTTCTTTAAAAATGCAAACCCATATTAATCAGCCATCACCAAGAAAGGAATTACTTCTACTATATAGAGCTGATTAATGCAGCTACTTAGGACAACACATTTCTATGTTTGAAATGAGGATGAAGAGGTAAAACCTGAATACTTGATAAGAGGGAGAGACAAAGAATCATTTTAGTCAAGTACTACCTGGCAGTGGGGAGAAACAAACTAATAATCTCTAACAGATCAAGAACTTCATTACCAGAAGTGCCCCAAAATAAAACTAAGCCAGCACATTGTTTTAAAGAGAATTTTTAAACAGGAGAACTTGTAAGTTGATATAAGTTCACCAGGCACAGCAAATACCTGTGGGCAGAGCCATAAGGGGTGAGTAAGAAAGGCCTTGGTGCTCCTCAAGAATAGGCATTACACAGGGATAAATATGCCTAAGCCTGCTACCTGCTGCTGCCACTGCCAAGCTGGAAAAAATGTGGATCTAGAGAGGCAAAAGGGTGCAGGAGCCCACACATGCAAACCTGAACATGTTCCCTGCATTTCAGAACCAAATGTCAGCAGCGTCCTGAAACCTTCTGCAGTATTTGCACGTTCAGCAGTTCAAACACATGCACAAAGATCACATCAAATGCACAAACACACGGACTAGTTCCCAGCTGCACAAAGTGCTGCTATATGGCCTCTCAGCATCTCCACTCCACCTATACCTTGGTAGAATATTTATCCTGCCATTTTTCCACAACATACAAAATTCTCCAAGCTTGAGAGATGTTTCATTCACTTAAGACTGCAATCCCTAGTTAAGCAATTAATTTTCAGAGGTTATCCTGTGCTCTAAGATTGTCTTTTCAAAACAAGGAAAAGCCTGAAGACTTACTCTGAATGATCTGCTAACAATAACTTCTTATCTGCATTGTTAATTCAAGATGGTATCGATAAGTTGAGAAATACAGGGCAGAAAAATACATCATTATGAGCAAAGAAGTACACATCTCTGGGGCTATGTCAGACAGACAGATGAAGACACCTTTCTAGCAGCATTTAATGATGTAGGTTGGAAGGGATATTAGGTGGTTGCGGAGTCCTACCTCCAAAAAAACCCAAATGCAATTTTAAAGGATTTGTTAGATTCTGAGTACTTTCAACAATGGAGATTTCACAACTCCTCTCAGCTTCTGCATCAGTATCTGATCAACCTCAGGTTTAAATAAATAAGGTATTAATTCATACTCCTCAGTTTTGTTCAGTTTACCACGAAACCTCATACCTTTCATACCTGTGAGGGAACGTCAGACTAGTCAGACATCCCCTAGAAGGGAAATTCCTGTGCTCAGACTACATTGAACTTCAAAACAGTTATTAGGATTAACTTTTAGATGAAAAGTGAAGATTTTGTTTTAGCAAGGACTTATGAATAACAGCCTTTCGTTATTTAAGAAAAATAATTACTAGCAGTAATTATCAATTCCTCTTAGCAAGATAAGCAAGCTAATACCTCGAAACTGACCAAATAACCATGAAATAAAGGACCAGGTTACAACTCAAAACCTGGCAATTTTTTCTTCTGATTGTTTTATGTCCAACTTCAGTTAAAAAAAAAAAAGTCATGATTCTAGTTGAATCTTAAATTTGGTTTTTTTTCTCCCCAGAGTAAGGGAATAAAGACTAAAGCAAGTGACAGGCTGCCTGCCCTCAGTTTATTCCTGCCTCTGTGACGTTCTATTTATGTAAAACCACTATAAATGCCATTAAAATGAACAGTACTCTCATTGCTTCATCTTGGTCTACTACTGACAAAAGAAACTGAGGAACACAAGCGAGCTCCAAACTGCACACACAAAAGATGTGTTTCCTGAAAGTTTTCTGAAAACACCCTCTAAGGTTGATCCTTGACAAAGAACATACTAAAACATTCCATGAACTAAAATAGAGTCTAGGATTCAAACGTGCTTGGTTAACAACACACACACAACATGGAAGAACACCCCACAACAAGTTTATTTTGCAAATACGCACTACAGACAGAAAGAAAACACCTAGACACAATTTGAGTTCATAGCTCACATTAAATCTAAAACAAAACCTCAACTTTGTGGTGCAAGGACACTACAAAATTTCATTTGTCCTTAATGACAGTATAAAAACCACTCTCACCTTCTCCAACCAGACAGTGCATTCCAAGCTTGAGAAAAGGAAAGGGTCACAACACAGTGATGAAGACAGGCATGTTTTCCTAAAATAAATGCAATATAGCTACATCAGCCTGATGTTGCCCGGATCAAGGAGGAAGAGAAGAGCAAGAGAAGCAAAGCTTACTGACTGGGAAGAAAGCTAGGAAGAGGGGTAAGGGAGCTGATGGAATTTTAGCTTGAAAAAGTTTTGGATCACAGCTCAGTGGTACTGTTGTTGAAATGTATGAAAAGGTATTTAGTAAAATGTCCTTTGATTTTGCTCAAGAACTTAAAAGTTAAGATGTAATTCAAACAAGTACTTTCAGATAAATCCCTGGCAATTACTACCTACCCATGTAACAACATGTGCACTCTACATCATGCTTAGAAGAACTGAGAATTGAGTCTTGGGAGCCACAGAGTACAACAAGCCCTGTTGTTCTGCTCCATCATTTATGCACCTAGTGGCATAAATAAAACCACCTCCGAGCTGCTGGGAGAGGAAGGGAAAAAAAGAAAAAATGTCCCACAGCTTTATAAAATTGCTGTTAAAATGTCATTTAAAATGTCTTGTTAAAATGTCAGTTTCTCAGGCCTAAAGACTCAAAGAGTGACAGCCGTAGCACATCGGAACCAAAGTATTATAAATCAATCCAACCTCATTTACAGTATTTATCACACATCCCTGCCTCACAGCATGGGGTGCCTCTTCTGGAACAAATAACCTTCAAGGACCTGGAAACACCTTCCTAATCATCCACATTCCTCCTTCAGCCCCCAAGGTACCAACATGAGCGGCCCACGTGTACTCTGCAATTTGGGTGCAACTGTGCCAGACAGGGGAAGCTCTGGTGGGACACTTGGTCACAGCAGAGGTAAGACAAGTTTGCCTGGGAGAAGGTTCAGTGGCTGAGCACAGAACAGTAGAAGCAGCTCCTGCTCAACACTACTCCCTGCAGGAGAGGTTGGCATCAGTGGATGTGGTATCAGAACATGCACTTGATAATATTTATCTGTAAATGCAGAAGGAAAGTCTCACAGGCTCATCTTGTTCAAAGCTAAGACTGATGGTTCTGATGTTCCTGGATACCCTGCTGAGAAAAGGCCACAAGATCTCCATTACCTAATAATTTAGCCCAAGATTAATCTCCTAAACTATTACTGCTAGTCAATAAATACACCTTTTTTACATGCTTTTTTTATCTATCACCACCTAACAAGGAGATGAGAAAGTAATTTTCAGCAAGCAGGTCAGAGACTAATGATGAAGAGATTCATCTGTGCCACTTGTTTGCCATAAAACTTCCACATCCTTTACTCACCTCCTGTACTCTGATCATTCCCTTAACTCCTTTAACCATTATATTACCTACAAGTAAAAATTTAATCAAAAATCTCGACAGTTCTATTAGATAATGATACAATGACTAAGTAAATGAAACACAACTGTATTCCCCATTCTACACAGC